CATAAGAAAATATTTCATTAGAAGTTGAATTTTTCCCTATTTCTCTTTCACTTTTTACATTCAGTTCAATTTATTTGTCCGAAAGTAAGCCTTAGAAATTAAAAGGACGTTGATCAATTCACGTTCGCGCATTCTAGTCTTATTTTAAACTTTATAGCGGAAGGACATCTGTGAGCAGGGAATAAGTCAGCACAGAATTTGATGGTCGGCGAATTTCTGTAATCGTCTATCGTTCTGCTAGTTATAAGCTAGCCGTTGTTCACTCATCTTGCTTCTTTGGGGCTGAGTCTTATTCCGGTCAAATAGAGGGAAAGAGAGTCTGGCAAGGTTTCCAATCAAAGATTTGTGAACTCGTGTCTAGCAAACTCTCCAAGTGTTTATATATACACAGTTATACGTACCTTATAACTTCATCTGCGCTTAACGAATGTCTTTTGGTCCATAACTTTCAAAACAACTGCCCCACAGAATGTCACTGATAACAAGTAAGGCAAAAGAGTATCGAACTATGACTGCATAATAAATTTCACAAAATCTACCTAAGCTCTCTGTCTTTACGTCATCCCAGATGACGATCGAATAGCATCCCATGATGCACCTCGTTTCATGTTATATGCGACATATCATGATCAGTATTCTTCAGCACGCGCGGAGTGAACATGTGTACGGTTTCCAAACATGTTTCGGTTTAGCAGCTTCTGCTTTTGAGAATATCGAGTCAGCTTATATTCATTATACTTTAAAGGAGAATTTCAGCGTTACTTTGAAGGGTTACATGTTTCTCACTGATCTGTCGAAAACTACTTGTGCGCTCGGTCGCACTGTACAAACACACTGAGACTCGGCAACTGACAATGTTCACTAGGAGAACCGAAACCATGACTGACCTAATAAGTGGCTACAACAAAACAGCCGCTACGCTGTGAAGGTAATTACCAAAGGAAAATTTATTTCAGCATCGCGCTCGCGCTAAAAGGAGCTTAATTTACAACTGCAGTTACAAATAAAATTTAGCCTATCGATGCGACAATTAAACAACCACTGCCTTGGAACAGGAGCCGGCTCCTGCTCTGAAGCACAATCTACCCGGTACTGACTCAAGCAATCTTCAAGGAAATTTCCTGGCCAGAACACTGATCTGTTCTTTTGAATAAATAAAATTTTTGATATTTTTTTTGTTCAATTTCTGAGCAGGCTTGTTTAGTGTTGGCACCTTTGCAGTTTGGGTTCCTATCACACTGTCAGGGACTGTGCAATAATTATCAGGAGGGGGGGCTGAAAAACTAAAGGGGGGGTGGCATTACATAAAATTGCTGCCAAGATAGGGGGGCTCAAAGTAAAATCAGTCATTTGACGGAGGGGGGCCATAAGTTTTATTCGAAATGTAAATAAAATTAAACGCAATAAAAGATTCTCAATACAGGCATCATGATAGACTGTAACAAATATCAATACGAACAGCTGTTAAACGATTATTGAAATATTCCATCAAAATGAAAAGCAAATTCACAACTGATCAATTTTAACCTGTCTTCTAATTAATTGAGCTGATCCTATGTAAAGCAAAAATCATGAACTTGTTTTTCAGCTTCCCCCATAAAACAATGGGAATCAAACAGATCTCGTAGACAAGCTTTGTCGGTTTTTGATGTGAATAAAAGTAATGTTTCTTCATCGACTGAATCGATTTGCTGAATTCCATATATATCTGGCTCATAACAAAGTTCAACAGGCTCTCCTCCCAAGGATCTAAATATAATGCAAGCTCTTTTTCGTCTGTTATTTGAAGCGTTCAATCTCCTGTTCTTTGATTTTTTTCTCTGCTCCTTTCTCTTTCTGGCTTCAGAAGTTTTAGATTTTGAGCCAATGTGGTAAGCACCCTGGTACTTAGCAAATGCTTTGTCTAAATCTTGGGGGTGCGACGTTATTTTTAACATAACAGAAGGGGGTTAGAACTAATTTTTTTTGTTTTGGAGGGGGGGGTACTGTCTAAGTTTTTGCTAGATAACTCTAGTTTTTCAGCCCCCCCCCCCTCCTGATAATTATTGTACAGTCCCTGAAACATACGGCATTATTCACCGCTCCTTGCTCTAATTAAAATAATTATAGTCAAATTCCTTTTAAAAATAACCACTTTGAAAATACAAAGTGATTGCTTCGGCATAAAGCGCTCTCGAAAGCGCCTAACAGATTGCAGCCTTCAGTAAGCTCTGAGGGGGGTGGGGGGGGGGGTTGGAGGGGGTACTCCCATACCTTCGTGATTTTGAAGCTCCTGATTTAGAACGGGGTATCCATTTCAGAGGCGTTTTCTAGAACGGGGTATAATATTTCGAACACACGAAAGCTCCAGTTTTGTAAGCAGCCATTTAAAATTATTCAAGGACAGATTGCTTTTAAAAATACGCTTCAATGCGTTAACAAGCAAACTGTTGTACTCTTGTTGCACCCTGTGTTTTAGCGTGCAGGGCGGGCGTATTTTGGCGCGAGCGACCCGCGAGCGCTGACTCCGCCATCTTGGATAAATAGCCGCGCGGAAGTCTGGAACGAGTCCATAATGTACCCGAGCGAGATGGAGACGGGCTCAAAAGAAAGGGACGGGGGAGGAGAAGGAAAATCGTTAGCTTACGAACGTGGTTTTGGGCGTGGTGAGAGATTTTGCGTCATAATTAACCGCATTGTATCCACATGCACAGGAAACGTACTCCGGATGCTTATTACGAAGCAATTATTTGATGTACAAGTCGAACAAATAAAGAAAAACTTTTTAAAAAACAGGGCTATTTCAATTTACAAACTTTCTAGAACGGAGTATAAAAAATTGGCCCATTTCTAGAACGGGGTAGCAATTTTAGGGGAATTTTTGTTTTAGAACGGGGTGCCAATTTGGAGTCCCGGACAGCACATACCCACCCAAAAAATACCCAGGTGACCCCCCCCCCCGCCCCCGGGAGCAGGCTTTATAACACATATATTATCTCACATGGCGTTGAAATGTGATAAAAGATACCAAATTTCAGCCATCTTTGCTCGATAAAAAGGTCTTCAAAATGTGGGTACTTCTGGGTACTTCTTAACTTGTACAATATTCAGGACTTCATTTTGCTGGCGTGAGGTCCACGTTTGGGAAAACTTCAACATACAATCCAAAAAATCGTGCATATTCATGACCTTCTTGTGGGTCACTGAACACTTTGTGATGTGAAGACTAAGTGAAACAATGAAAATAAATGTTTCTATGTGGAAACTTCGCTCTTAAGCCATTGCAAACCGGAGAAATCATGTCAAATAACAAAGTAATGCAATTTTCTTACTTTTACTGGAACACAAATGAGAAAAAAGCCGACGAGAAAACGACCTTATTTCACGATGGAATCTGCCTTGATTGCGATATTGCGTAATGCTTGTGGAAAAATGCGTGATGGGATGTGGGATACTATTCGATCGTCGTCTGACGTCATCCTCACCATTTCATACTCGCGGGCGCAAACAAAAGAAACGTCATCATTACCTACCGATTCCTCGCGGCCCCTGTTCAAGCAAATCGAGATTTTTTCTGGCATACTGACTGTATATTTTAGCTGTAAGTACTTTCCTTAATATACGCGCAAGATACTAGAGTGCCTCCTCGGCATTTCGCCTTCTGGGCGAAATCCCCCCGGGGGCAAATATATTTCATTTGAAAATGGTGTCATCACGTCAAGGATTTACATCTCTAGTTTTACAGAGTTTAATTTACATACATTTCTTTGCACACAAATCGTTAGTTAAGACAGATTATAGAAGACATTAAAAACCCGACATCTGTCGCCCAATGTGTTTTGATCAAAAAAAGTATTCTGATAAATAACCATCAATTCCAATTCAGGAATCCTGAGCTCCCAATTTGCTCGGTAGTCCGTTCATCAATACCGATAAATCCGCTATAATAGGCATAAAAAAACTATGAAATACGTTCCCAAAAGCTTTTATCTTCTATTTAGATTTGCAAGAGATCATGGAAGGCGAAACTCGCGCACTAGCCAATAATCACTCCCATCAACGGTGAAAAGCGCGTTACAAGCTCAGAAAGGCTTTTTTTTTTCTTTACATTAATTAGTTTCCCTTTGATGAACTTGTGAGATGAAAAAGAGGGGGAGTGAAAACCTTACAATGGATCCACAGTAACATTATACCAAAGCAAATAGGTCCAATTTGTTTAATTATAGCTGTTTCAACCCAGAGAACAACAGAGTTTCTGTGGACTGAAGAACCCATCTTTAAGGTAGGGCAGGAGGTAGTTAAAAGACTATTAGCATTCGGTGCAATGTTGGTTCTTTTTTAACCTAGTAGACAGTAGTTCATTTTTGTTGAAACTGATTCTTAAGTTAAACCGGTCCCTGATATCTTCTAACTTTTACCACGCATTGACAAGTTCTACAGCCATATATCTTGTTTGGCTCAAAACGGCTATATTCCAAAAACGCTGAGCTGGTTTTGAAAATCTGAGCCCTGAACACTTCTGCATCTAACTGGCAATGTGTAAAACGACGGTCTTCAAAATAGCGCCATTCCTGAATACTTTAGTCAACATTGCTACGTTCATCCATCGACTATTAAAACCTCGCGTTACTTGCATAAGGAATCTAAGCATTCTTTAACTTTCCTTTCCGTTTGCTGATTGCTCAAGCTGCGCTCATTATTAATAAAATACATCTTACGTTGAGATGGACAGAAATAAAAGCTATGGCACAGTTTCATTTGTTTCAGGTTTTCATTCAAATAAAAGAACACAACCTCTTAGTGTTCCAAGCACATCTTTATTGCAACTAATCGCTGTTTTGTAACATTTCACTTAATCAACTAAAAAATTGTGGTTATTGTATGATTCCCTTCGCATAAGCACCGTTCTTAGTGGAGGGACAGCCACGTTTAAAGTTTCTTTTTACTTAGGTTAGCAAATGAAATGTTTTAGTGCATTGCTACGCAAAATCTCGTTTATGCTTGGACCTTGGCGTTGTGCTCTATACCCACTTGTACAGGGCGCTGTTTATGTTGTATTTCTGGTTGTAATGGTTTACCACTGCAAGGTAAGTATGACCTTTGTACTCAAATGACGTCATACCATGCCCTCCATGTGTGGGAATCTCTTGGTACTTGATGAACCTTGCTCCAGAGGCCTGGTACACAACTGACTGAGTGTTGTGTTTCTGACTGTCACCATGGTGATTAGCCACACCAAGGTAGGTTTGACCGTTGATCACAAATGGACACCATGCGATGGCTCCTCGAGTAGGAATGGACTGGAACAGGACAAACTTGTTACCATTCCACTTGTAAATGAACGAATTGGTGTTGTGTTTACTTCCAGAATATTGGTTAGCAAAAGCGAGGAACGTGTGACCGTTGATGTTGAAAGACTTAACACCGCGCGCTCCGTAAGTCTGAAGAGACTGCAGTTTAACAAAGTGACCTCCTGACCACTTGAACACAGTGGACTGAACAGAATACTTGTGTTGGGAGTTGTAATGGTTTCCAAAAGCGATGAATGTGTCACCGTTTATCACAAACGCCGTACATCCCAAGGCACCTTCAGTTGGTATGTCCTGAAATTTGTTAAACTTGCCGCCGCTCCATTCGTAGATAACTGACTTTGTAGAGTGGGTACTTCCGTCATGGTAGTTTGCTACTGCGAGATAATTTTTTCCATGTATCTTGAAGTACGTGAAGTGGCTTGCTCCGTTTGTTGACAATTTCTGAAAGTCGACAAACAGCCTTCCATTCCATTGATAGACTTTAGAATCCAGCCGGTATGTTCCATCGCAATGATTAGCGACAGCAAGGAAATGTTTGTTGTCAATAGAAAAGTACTCGAGGCCATACGCTCCTCTTGCCTGAAGGGTCTGGTACAAAGACAATCTTCCAGTTGAATTGTCCATCTTGTAGATCATGGAACCTGCCTTTTTTTTTTAATGTCCCCATGATGGTTGGAAAAAGCAAGAAACAAGCTTCCATCAATGGTGAAATGTGCCACATCTACTGCTCCTCGGGTTGGAAGATCTTGAACTTTCTCAAAGAAGTGGAATCCAATAGAGCAATCTTTCACAAGAAAAAAAAATGTTGAAAATCTTTATTATCAAGCAATTACTATAAAAAATAACTAGAATAAATCGAAAAAATAAGGTAGAAACGTACATGTAACTCATGTGTTATGTTTTTGCAATTTTAATGTGAAGGAGCCACGTTTTTGATGAAATTGAAATTCAGCAACTCTTCTTTTCACTGAATCAACGTACATGTACATCGTAGATAACAGTAATAAATAATATTCATACCGGCTGAACAGCACTTCGATTTGCTCTAAAAGGCAAAATAAAAAGATCAAAATATAATTAAACAAGACGCTACGGAGCGTATACTTCGGCGTCGTGGTTGTGGAACTAATTAATTGTAAATGCGGAGGAATAGTAAGAAATCAAACATGGTAAGAGTAAGGTGTTAATTTGTGAAATTATGGGATTTGTCAGGATATTCTGAAAAGAGCAACATCCAAGAGGCCTACTTGCCAAAACCTAGCATTTCGGGACAAATTGTCTCCGAGGTATTAGCCCAGTTATGCCCCATACAAATCCTTTTAAAAAAACAATTCTCTATTTTTCTTAGTCACATCAGGCTTCAAAAACAGCATAGCAGTCTCATGTACTGATTAAAGATATGTAAGGCATGGGTAAGGAGTCAATTACGTTGAGCATGGAATTGGCTAAAACTCAAAGTCATGAGTTCGAATGTTTTGAGGATAATTATTCACTGAGTATCAGCACGCAGGGATGTCGGATCAACACAAGGAAGTTTAACACCAAAGGAACATAGCCTTTACAGAGCTTTAAAACACAGCATCCACCAACACAAACTTGACTTGAACTTTGAGTAAAACTAAACAGCCTCTACCAATAATAACAAACTCTCACTTGAACTTCAGATATCTTACGGCTTCCACGAACTTCTAAACACAGAACGTGAAAACCGACCTTCGTCACACTTGACTAAACACAGCAGTCCAGCTCGTGGGAAAAAACTTAGATCGTCAAAAGAACTCGCTTGGAACTTGTATACCGTTTGACATAAGGTTCTAGAAAATGCTAAACAGGCGAATAGTAGTAGATTTTCGACATATTTTATGATTTCAGTAACTGATGCAAATCTGCTGACTCATGCTGAAATGTAAACATGCCCTAATTAATTATTCATGTATAATCCAAAAGCGTAGAGAACGTTCGAGAAAGTCACGCAACGCATGAAAGCAATTTTACTACGTAACACTCAACAAAGACAAAATGTCTTTGTACAGCATTTTGCAAGTTTAAATTCATCATAAAACAGTTCGAAAGGAGGGCTCACTCGTGAAATGTTTTTCAACACTCGAAGAGAAATTTCGTGTCTCTGCGCGGCCACAAAATATCCTCTATTTATTCCTCGAGTAATTAAAGACTAAACTCGAAGTGATCTCGAGATATCACGAAGTAGTCCGGTCTCATTTCGTGAAATAGTTGAAACAAGCCGAAAAGTCACGAACTTGCACCCCCAATCTTGTCCCGAGACTAGTGCATCATTTCATAACTATTTTTCATCCCCCAAACTACCTTGGGTCGCAGTAGCGCAATCGGCTAATCCCTCAACTTAGAGTCTCCTCTGATCTGATGGGTCACACAGGTGAGTCGGTTCAAACCCCGGGAAAGCCAAAATAATAATTCTTTCTTCCTCGAAAAAGTTAAAGAATAAATCAAAGAAATCGAAGTGATCTCGAGATATCTCGAACTAATTCGGCTTTCACTTCGTCAAATAGCCGAATAGAACCGAAAACCTACAGACTTTGCTTGCCCAATCTTGTCAAAAAATTGCAACTTTGATACATTCCTGAGCGTCGCGAATCCTTTACTTCGCGCTCCGCCGAAGTAATAACAAAGCTAACAATCTGATAATGTAGTTATTTATGGAAACTATAGGGTTTAACATATGTATCTTCAACTTTTTCTATCGGAAATCTCCCTTGACCGGACATTAAGGGATGTAAAAAGGCTTCCGCTGTCCGAATGACATCGTGCTAATCTAATGATAGCATCATGTTTGGTGTCAGTAAACATAGACTACGAGCAATATTTTGTTCTTGTTTCCTTAAATTAGTGGGACATGCGAGCTGACTTGTACCAGTAAAAAGCTCGATTGTCACTTGTCATGGCCTTGCCGCTCACTTGCGCACGCTCTTCCCTTTAAAAATAACAGGAAAAAGAAGAGTGCAAGACGTATATCAAGTCTATGGTAATTTAATTGACGGCTTATCGTATAAGAATTATTAATGCATAAGGGTTATAGAGAGTGAAAGTCTGGAAAATGCTTTGAGACATTTACCTTTGTATCACACGTTCCCGGCATTCCTTTTTGTCCTTGTGATCCTTTGCCACCACGAGATCCTTTCTCACCCTTTGTGAAGAAATCAAAAGAAATTATTAATGATGAAGATCTTCTAATATTCTAGAAGATAGCTAAAAGATCTCGGTAATTATACGAACTGATCGCAACTTTGTCCTTTAGCGATACAAAAAGAAAAAAAAATAATGAAGATTTTAACAGAAGCATATAACTCCGTTCGGGGTTATATGCTTCTGATTTTAAAGATCATGCGGTACTTGTTTTATATCAGAAAGGAATCCATAGTTTTGGAGAAATCAATTTGACCTAAACCGAGTAACATTTACAACTGCACAAAAGCAGGACCACTAAAGAAAATTGAATGAGTCGTTTGTCGCTCTAAGGATAGAGCATGCGCCTTCCATTTTGTTTTGGACTCTGAAAATTAGTCATTTCTGTCTTCAACTTAAGAAGTATAAAGTTACGCTTACCTTAACACCACCATTACTGTTTTTATCCATTCCTGATTCTCCTTTCTCCCCCTACAACAGAAATAATGATAACCACACAAGATAATAAATAATTAATAATAAAGCTATTGAACTGTAAGAAAATAGTGACAACGATGATGATGAAGATAATAGATAAGAAATAGAGATAATGAAAAGTACGAAAAAAAACGTGAAACTAATGATCAGATGAAATTAATGAAAAAGGACAGGAAATAGGCCGGAATAAACTAATTTAAAGGCCAAGCCTGCAGATTTTAAGGTGACTAAAGACGGTTTGATAATCATTACCATTCGTTGGGATGTTATTTAAGACTCGTTGCTGGTTACAAATATAAAGCTCAAATTTGACAAGGACAAAATATATTAAAGACATTACATTCATTATTAAAGTTAAAAGTAAGATTTCGATCGTTGCAACATTGAAATTGTTAGGTTTACTCAAAATTCAGTCCCTGGATTTCCTTACTATTAGTAAGTCTCATATTTTAAAAGCACCTTAACCAAATTGCAACAAACAGTTCTTGATATTTTTAAGAATTCAAAATAGCTTTCGCGTCACAAAATTCATGTGTTTGTTGTTAATTGAGGCTTTCATTGACTAAAGTACGACATGAAGAGGATTTCTGCTAAATTTCGTTAAATCTTAATGGGTAGATTTTAAAGTAAAATTATTGTCGTTTGTTTACATTGCCTTTGAAAGTCAACAAATCAAAGACAACTGGCAAAAACTGACAACTATAAGTGAATGGAATCTTTTTATTTTTGATAATAAGAGCAGACAGTTACCCAAACTTTTGTAATCATCTATGCAACGTTAGTTAAATTATCCTTATTCGTATTTCTATTATTTTTTCATTTTTGTTATTTTCTGCATTATTAGTCTCTTTTAGATGTGAAAGCGTTTAAGAGTATTGAAGTTGAAGTAGAAAACTTCTAAGCATTCTTCTCAACCTGTCCTCGCACTTTTTTCTTCAAAAGCTCATTGGCTGCATATCTCCTCATGATTAAAAACTACTTGGTGTTACGGAGCACGAATTTAACATGCATAGTAAATACATAAAGCATTTCTAGAGAAATTGTTTTCAGCAACCTTAGGGTTAAAATAAGGAACAATGTTATGGGGACCTCTTTCTCTGGGGAGAAGTTGTACTTTATACTTCGAATTTTATGATCTTCACTCTTTTTTAATTTTTGAGCCAGTTTTTACTTTTAATCTAGCAATAAATTAAATTAATTACTTTAGTAACTTTAATGAGGGACCCACTGAAAACCGCTATGGAAAGTTGGGCTCCTTCTTTGAACATTGTTATGAATATTATTATTGTTATTATTATTACTATTATTATTAATAATATTATCATTGTTATTTTTATTACAAAATGCTGAGAGAATAGCCAGTTTGCTTGTCTTTACTGTGGTGGAGATCAAAATAAAGTTAACTGGTCTGGTTATGATTTTGCTGATTTTGCATTGTTCAATATATTCAATGACGTTTTATGGAAGGATATGGATCTAGAAACTAAACACTTCCATTTAAAGGGCAGAACATGTCAATAATACCTTAATGCCAGCATTTCCATCTTTCCCTGGTATCCCTGTTTCTCCTTTTTCTCCCTAACATAGATATTTACAAATTAATAAGAAACCAAAATAAGAAACCAATAAGAAACCAAAGCTGTGAAAACTATGACTCTTCTCGTGGCCGTTAGAGGAAAGTTAATAGTTAACAATATTAGAAACGTGAGACGAAACTTGAGCGTCTTATTTACAACGCGCCATACAAGCAAACGCATTTGATAACCAGCAGTGTTAACCGTCTCTGATCGGATTCAAATCCCTTTCAAAACGAGTCATAAAGACACAGGAACAAACATTAAGGTTAAAAACATATTATTATTATTAGCTAATACCGCGTAAATATATATAATTATTCTATTAGCTAATACAGCGTTCGGGTTCCCTGTGTATATTAGCTTCTGCCTCAGCAGCCTCAGTGGTAGTCTCTCTCGCAGCCGTTTTTAGTATCGTCACGC